CTTGTCTAGTTCCTCTGAATCCTATCAGTGTTACTCGCGCTCGTATCATCAATTATATTCCATTATCAACTTGTTAGGTCTCTTTGAATACTATACTATTCATTGCTCCTTACGTTTGTTTCATCGATCTGATTTCATCGTAGTAGCAGAAGTTGAGTAGCAATACAAATTTGTAATCTCTACATTCTTGCTGTTCTTGAACTCCTCAAGAAGTGCTATCTCTCTAGAGATGAACGGAAGATCGCTATTTGATCACAAGGTCGGAAAGATCGAGCCTGTTTGTCACATGCCCACCGTTGCTCATGGCTTTACTCAATACCATCCAAATCCTCAAAGTTTTTTATTTCCGTGTTTTCATTGGAATTTGCAATTGAATCACTAATCGGCAAAGCTCTAATATTCAAAAATCATACAAGCCATTGTACAAGATGGTGAACACAGGACAATTGATTGTTGGGATCCTTGGAAATATCACTTCCATATGCCTGTTTGCGAATTCAGTGTAAGAAGCTTTTACACCATTAAAATTTTGAAACTTGGAGTTGTCATATGATGACATGAAGTATGTTTAATGATGAATAGAAAAAGTACTCATAAGTGCACCTCCCCTTTGACACTTAAGCTAACTAAAACTAAGTCAAAATCAAATCATGATAAAGTGAAAATATGAAGAGGTAACAAAAATTGCTGATAAATGTTACTTGTGCTTCTCATACAAAATCTATATAGTCACACAATGTTTCATAAAACTTTTTAAAAGAATAACATTGATTACCTACATCAGCTAGATTGAGTTTCCTATCAAAATTGACTAATTCAATTCTTTTATCACACACTACATTCCTAATAAAATGATACTTGATGTTAATATATTTTATCATACTGGACATCACTTGATTTGCAACAAGATAAAAGACACTTTGATTATCACTATAAAGATTGGCAGCATTCTATTTCAACACTATCTCCGTGATAAGTTTATTCAATCAAATAACTTTTTTTATTACCTCTACTGATGTTACATATTCATCTTTGATTATGGTATACGATATTCAAACTCAATCTCATTCATATATATCTCATACGATTTTTTGATAGCTCATCATGATTCTAGAACACAAGAAATCAGCTACATCTTTGCGTCCCAAACACACTATCACACAAAGTCTACTTTCAATCAAATCTAATCATTCAAAAATAATTCAAGATAAAAGTGTAACTCAATTTTTTATTGATGAAAGAAGTTGTTACACAATGAACTATCCAAACTTGCTTGAGAGTCTATTTTTTACTTTTCAATTTATAAAGAAAAAATCATACTTGAAAAACAATCATGATTATATGTGATATCTTTATCAAACTTAATTTCACTAGGATAAATTTTGGTAAATTTGACTAGCTTTCATTACGTGGCAACATGTCATTGAACTACCTAAACCTTATAAAAGTTTCAATGTTTCTAAGTTAAAGTGACAACATGTTATCTGCGACCTTGAAACTTCTTGAACTTTCTCTAATGAATGAAAAATTTATCATTTAGTAGAAATATTGTTATAAAAAAAATTTTAAACTTTGATAAGATATAAAATAAAATGCTCACCTAAAGCTTTTAGAATATTTCAATTATTTTGCCAAGTATAGTTTTGATAGTTATAGTTTGGTAATTCATACATATAATTAATAAATTAAGATTAATGTCAAGATCAAAATTTCAATATATACTTGAAATGAAAGGATCAAATTTTTGAAAATATATCTTCAACTTGTTGTGATTGATCCGTTCAAAATGTTGTTCTTTTAGTTTCTTATTATTATAAAAAAATATTTTAACAGTTATTTGATAATAAAAGAACCAAAATAATTGAAAAATAATTATTTTAACCCTCTTATACTTAATCTCATCTAAAACATCATTCAATTGTCTTTCTTGAAGGTCTTTAAATTTTGATATCCAATTCAATTGTTATGGTAATTCTTTTGCAATGGTTGAACTTGTTGTTTTCATATTATGCTATGGTTTGAAATTCTTCCAACTTTATCAATGGTTGTTGATGATACTTGATGAATTTCATTTCACTTGTCTTTTTCAACTTTTGCTTGAACTTCATCGAGATAATCAAATATTATTGTATCAATTTTTTTATAAAACTTCATATATCATCCAAAAATATGAGTTTGTGGTAATTGATTTCCAATATTATCACAAAATAATGTGTAGATTTTTGTGTCTATTTTGCTTGCTTTACTTTTTCATCAATTCATTATCATTAAATTTGTAAGAAGTGGTCATTCAAGACTTGATGAATTTTTTTTATAATATGGTTTGAAACATATTTACCACAAATTCTAATTTTACTATCCAATATCAACTTCAAATACTAACAAAATTTTGTTATGATACTCTCATGCAAAATTTTAACAAAGTACAGCTCATTAGTAGATTTGAGAGATTTAAACTTGATCCACTTGAAGATAATCTCTAGTATTGATAATAAATTTATTTTCTCCAAGGAGTAAGATTTAAAGGAATTAAAAAATGTATTACTCTTATGCCAAAAGTAACACAAATATGATTTCATATCGAATGAAGAATTTTGATGAAATTTTTAGCAAAAACTTAACATATATCACAATTCTTACAAAATTTTAGACAATCTTTGAGAATATACTTTCAAAGATCTTGAGAGATGTTTGCTTTTCTTGCAAATTGTATTCCACATATCAAAAATTTATTTAATTCTTTCATGAGTTATAGTGGTATTACTTTCTCAATTGCTCTTTGTAAAATTTTGTTGGGTGTTTTTATGAAACAGTACCTTCTACTTGCTTATGTATGGTTGACGTCTCTTAATCAATGTAATTTTTCTCTTGAATGTATACCTTGAGAAAAATCTGCACTGAAGATGAGTTCTCAAATCTTCTTATACTACTCCTGTACTGTTATCACATTATTCATAATGGGATCTCGTTTGGAAAATATCATTCATTTATTAATATGCTTCCTCATCACGTGCTGAATACATCAAATCAACATTAACATTACTTTTTTCGGGATCATGCTTTTTGATAATAGTAGCTTTCATCTAGTTATATTTGTCTCAACATTAAACTTGTTGAAAATAGATTTCAATCAAATTTATTTCTTATGATTGGTTACAATTATAAAACTATCATCTAGAAAAACTCCTTAAGAAAAAGATTGCCGCCAGAGTTACTCTTTTTATTCTGAAAAATTATTGTACTTTTGCATCATTTATGTATTAGCATAAAAAATTGTATGATCATTTTCTTCATCATCAAATTGATTCAACATGCATGGCATAATATTGTTTGATGCATCCGTTTCAGTAATAAAAGATGTATTTTAATCCATTTTTTCTAAAATTAAAACCATAACCAATGCCTTTTTGATAACATCGAACATAATCTTTGTTTATTTATGCATGAAGAGTAGTTCATACTCTGTTCACTTCTTCATATAAGTTGTCAAAGTATGAGTTTTGTTGAAAAAAAATTAAATGAACCGTCGGGAAGTTTCTATCATATCAATAAATTGTTTGAATTTGGTCAAGGGCAACCAAAAAAAGTAACTCTAGGAATTTTTGGGATCCAATGCTCTACATTCATATATCCTCAACAACAAATCTTTTTCACATCTAGAATTGTATTTTTTTGGATTGAATAAAATTTTAGCTTCTTCCGAACGATGTTATTTTATTACGAAATGATCAAAATGATAATACATTTGTTTTTGTACACACAACAATCATCTATATAATCTCACAAAAATTTATAATGAAAGGTTTAAACAAAATAGTTATGAACTTTTGAAATCAACTTTGTAAATACTAAGTCAAAACTAAAGACAAAAGGTATCCATGGTATGGTAACAATAATTTTAAGCTTATTCAAAAATAATATTTGATTTTGGTTATAATAATTATAATTATTTCCAAAATTATAACATTCGTGGAGCGCAACTTTTTCTAGAAACGAGTAGCTGTTTCTAGTATGAGTTCAACTAAGAGTTCACATGAATGTTCCAACTCACTAGCTATACCAAGGTAACTTAATTGAAGTAAAAGAAACGGTGTATTGAAGCATATCAAAGAAAAAAATTCTCTATCTCCAACTCAATAGCTATATCGAGGGACGTTATATCAAGTAATAGATTCAATTTAATAGAAGCGCTTATTAGACTTGTTGGGCAACGAGCAAATATTATCCGTGATAATGTATCAAAACAAAATGATAATCCGCTTGTCTACAGTACAAGATTATAATGCGCACAAAATTATGCGGGCAATATGATATTGTACATTAAATATAAACCCACCCTACTTAATCAGTAGATACTGAATTCTCCAGTCTGGAGCTCCGACAAACGTACACCTACCCGTAGGGACAATTTCAAAAACAATGTCAGGTCAACAGGAACCTATACGTCTTTGTTATGTTGTAGGGCCTCACTCCAATACGTAACGTAAAGCGTTGGCCGACCTATGCTACAGTTAGCGAAAACATACTACACAAACATAGCGATTGAGATTCAGCACGGCTTTGACAAACTACACCGAATTATAAGAGGGCAATACGTAGAATCTACTTTTCTTTACTTTCAATAGAACGTATTGAGTAACAAAATTTTCATTAGGTTGATGATATTCTGCATTCAAACAGATCATTTATATGAAATGGCATATTTCTTTACCCAGCTTTCGTAAGTAAACAGCTTTACAGAAGAGTCACAACTGTGGTATTTACAGATCACTGAAGGGTTAATAACAAGGTGATTGATTCAGGTGAGAAAATTACCTTTGTCTGTGAAAGTTTTTTTCATTGCTGGGGTGCTCATTCACTAGCACGTATTTAAAGAACACTTCAACTATTGTCGCCCTGAATAAGAGATATGGAACTCAACAGCAAAGTCATGTAATTCTAGAACCAGTATGCCTACATGTCACCTAGCATTCGTGACAACAGTAAATAATATACAGAGGTGGCTTCTTTATATCATGTTTTTGAGCATGTAGTGTAATTTCCCAGAGGAATAAAAAATAAATTACAGCGGCGCTATTTCTCATCATTGAGAGTAGATGAACTATCCTACCTCCACAGCAGAAAAGTGTGGGTCCTATAGCTGAAAACACCTGACGATGAGAAATGCACCAAGTGATTTGTTCGTAACGAGTTAACTATTCCTCTTGAGTCGGTCATTACAAAAATCAAGTCTGTTGATCTGGACACCCTCATAGTTCGCATCCATCCTACACTAAGTTTGAAACCACAATAACATTTTGCAGTGTTGTGTCATGCCATCCCCTAGGTAGAACTATGGGGCCTCTGCATGCTCAACCTGCACTGCGGATTCGGCATCTGTAGATTTACCGAGATCCACTTGTTTTCTGTACACGGCGTAGAGAATAAGTTGAACCAAACCAAGTATCACCCCCATTCCGTTCGGTATCTGTACATAATTCATTCATGATCATTAAAACAACGTAGGCAAGTAGGACAAGTTGTGTCCATATTGAAGTATCATATTTTAGCGCTTGCTTTTAACTCGCTAGCGTTTAAAAGACGCCATATACATATATGATGTATATGGCGTCTTCTAAATTGAATTCATGAGGGTGCAAATACTACTGACGTCAGCTTTTCAAATGCTACTGACAACGCCTATAAGGCAGCTTAGAGGCTTAAAATGTCATAAGTAATTTCATACCGTGATATATAAGTTGAGGGGATGTTCGATTAAGCCGTAAACCATCCACATGATCCCGTTCAGCAGTACGAAGATGGACATTGGTAGTGGCATGTACACCACGGATCTCGTCTTGACGACTAATCGCTGCGTCACGTGATTCAGACATTTACAACATTTTATGAATGAGATTCGTTCCACATTACGGAATTAGAGAAAAGACTGAACCCCATAGCTTCCTGAACTTCTCTTGGCTGAGAGTTATTCTTACCATTACTAAAAGAGGAGAGAAGTACATACACACTCCAGCAATCGCACACAGAACACCGGTGAAAGTTTCTCTTGTGTTCGTGTGGTCATTATCGAAACCGTAGATGTTCAAAACTGCCACTGCTATTAATATCGCAGCAGCCACACACATCAAGCCCATGACGATTACCTGCAGGTAACCGAAGGAATAATGTCAGTATGCATGTGATAAATAATTGCTTTCGATAAGGAAATCGTATTGAAAGTTTTGCTCTAGAGCTTCCGTCAAAGCAGCTTACTCGCTTTTTTGGGCTGCTGTAGATGATGTATACACAGATGTACAGTATCTCGAGGAAAACCCCGATTGCATTGATAATTAAAATCAGTACAGCCTTATGCACCAATGGTGATCCATATATCAACCAAAGGGCACAATTGAACAAAGTAGCGATGTACGGGTATGCAGTAAATTCGCCCGATGATTTTGTTTTGTAGATTGTCCAGAATGGGCGAAACCTGCAATTACAAGTCGTTAAATCTTGCGGAAGGTTTGCAAAGGAGGTGCACTCATGAGTACGTTTTCTATTAACCATCATCCACCTTTCATCTCATCCAATGACAACTCCAAGTCTGGGAAATTCGATGGTGTAAAAGCTTCTTACGCTGGACTCGCGAAAAGACATATGGAAGTGATATTTCCAAGGATCCCTACGATCAACTGTCCTGTGTTCACCATCTTGTACTATGGCGTGTACGATGATTGAGTAGCAGAGCTTCGCCGGTTCAGTGCAAATTTAAGTGCAAATTCCGATGAAAACGCGGAAATAAAAAACTTTGAGGCACCGGATGGTATTGTGTAAAACCAGGAGCACGGGTGCTGATGTGACCAACAGGATCGATCTTCCTGAGCCTGCGATCAGATAGCGATCTTCCGCTCGTCTCTAGACGGATAGCCGGTCTAGAGAAGGTCAGGAACAGCGAGAATCCAGAGAGTACAAGCACGTCTTGCTGCTCAACGTCCGCTGCTACGATGGAATCTGAACGATGAAACGAGCGCGAGGAGCAGTGGCAGGATTCTGATCGATGATACGAGCGAGAGGAGGAGCAGTGACAGCATTCGAAGAAACTGGGCAAGTCGGCAATGATATTTTTTTTCTTCAATTCATCAACATAAACTCTTGCAAACTTGACGAACGTTCTACTTATAAACGTTAGATCTTTTAAACCAATATTCACGCATGCAGAGAAGGTTTCCGACGAGCAAGTGCATTTCTCACGCCATCCAGACAAGAACGGGTATAAACTTCACCTCATTGGTTTGATTCTATTCTGAACTTTTGAATTCTGAACGTGTCCATTTCCTTCATTCCCCGGATATTCTGTAAGGTTGAATACTTTCAATTACTTCGAATCTCTCGACAGTATCCAATATTTGAACAGAGAATATTGATGTTTCTCTTAACACTCTCGTTAGCAACGTCATCAATTTACAAAATAAGTCCAAAGCTTACTAACGATATTATAGCTTACCGTCCAAACGTTATTTGTTACGATGTCTTGGCTGGGCAAGTCTTCGAGAATTTAAAACAGTCGATCAGGATACAAACACGAGCGCAGTCGCGCTTGTGACGAGGTTCATGTCTCATGCCAGTGCTTGTACTGAAATCAGTGATTTTGATCGCTGATTGTGACCCAAAGCTGCGTATCAACTCGTGTGAGATTGTACAAGAAAGTACACGGCCACAATGAAAAGTAAGTGCACGCAAGAGACATCCCCAGCCGTATTGCACATTGTCTACTTCACACGAGGTGACTTGGACCAAAACGTCTTAACAAGACCACCGCTCACCATGTCCACCCAAAAAACCTGCAGACTGACATCCACTGAAAACTCGTTAGATGGTGTTGTGTAGTTGCCCTCGGTTGTGCCTTGTGTTTTCAATCTCAAGTGGGTTGCTGCGGCCTTGCTCTCTGTCTGCATAGCAAGCTATATTTGCTATATAGACATCTATAAGTGGTGCAATCGAATTTACATTTTTGAATCTTTATCATGAGTAATTTTGGTTTTTTATCAAATGGAGGGTCTTAATTTCAAATTCACAAACGATAAAAGATAGATGTGGATAATAATTACTCTTCCACCATAACGTAGGGAGGTGATTTTTCCATATTATGAAGTATCATATCCTTGATGTCATTATGTGTAACTATGCTGCAACTAGAGTATTAACATATGCACACATTGGGTTGAAAAATGTCCATTGATATATCAAACCAAAATGAAAGCTGATATTATGCAACGTGCAAAGCACCCAGCCAGAAGTACCAATTTTAAGGAAATAATCAGTTCTAATTACAGTTTGTGCCTGGGACCCGGAAGAGCCCAGGATCCAGTTACTCAGAGAGAATATGAGAACATGGAATCGAGCTTTCACATAAGACCATCATATAGGTTAACTGTTTAGATCAAGAAAAAAAACCAAAAGTATGCAGTCCAAATGTGCAAACATGACCCGGAGCAGATGCGGAGTCTAGGTCCTTGTTGGCAATTAGACGACATTCTTGAAGGCTCCAATTACTGGGGCCTTCAAGAATGAAAGGTACTACTGGGGCCCAGTAGCACCTTTCATTCCAATGATTGAGAGTAATCTGTCGGGAGTGTTCTTCTATTCCAAAATATAATGATATGTGCAGAATGTTGATGCACATTTCGTAGTTTGGCCCTCTTCAATATTAGAAACCTCATGGATGGCAAATCTGTGATGAAATAATATAATCAATGCATCTGTCAATTTTATCTTCTAAGTGTACTCCCACTTTATCGGAGAGCAACAAGCGTGACTTAACTTTCTCTAAAAAGCGATACAAAGATATTCTCCAGGGTGTAGAAAATTATCCAACAAGAATGGATTCAGCTGTAGGGTCAAGTCTTATAATGAACTGGAAACCAATAGCTCGCCGTTGTTATGCAGTTATAGAAGATTGTGGAGATAGGTTGATTCTTAAGTTATCTTGATTTCTTATTCACTTCTTTGGTTATATATCTTATTATCTTTGAAGGTATGTAGCTAGCCTCACGGTTGACAAATGTGAACGTCAGAACCAGCTCAAATTATGTCGTGACCGTGTGGAGATGAAAGAGGCTGAAGAATCAAAAAATAACTCTGTCCAGCCACAGTAGGGACCATGCGGCTAGCGAGCAATAAGCAGTATAAAGTTTCTATACTTTTTTTGAACGTTCTCCTTGTTTCTTAATATCTCACTTGTTAAAGTTTGAATTTTATAGTGTAAAAATCAAAGCCTTGCTAGACTCCAGAATTTCTACATGTTTCATTGACAAAGATTTTGAGGAAAAAAATAACTTAAATTTCCCTTTTAATCGCCAATAAATATTTGGTCCATGTAAAAACTATTGATGATGAACCCCTTGCATATGGTGACGTGATCCAAGAAAAAAAACCACTAGATGTTGTGATAGAAGATTATCATAGCACTTTAGTTTTCAATGTCATTCAATCTTTGTTAAACTCTGTTGTGTTGGGAATTTCTTGGTTAGATTTACATCAGGCGGTAGCTTCCACCCTTTTTGTGAAAAAAAAAAATGTTTCACTTCGGATGTGCGTGGATAATTGTGGCTTGGACATTATTACAATCAAGAATCGATATTCATTGACTTTGATCTTTGGACTCCTTGAATCAAGCAAAGGTATACACAAAAATTGATATTTGAGTAATTTAAAATGAAGTGAGCATCAAAGAATGTGATGAATGAAAGACATGGCTTTGAACAAGATATGGAAATTTTTAATACAACAGCATGCTTTTAGGTCTTATAAAATGTATCTGCAATATTTCAGCATTTGATGAACAACATCTTCAGAGAATTTTTGGAAAAATTCTCAGAAGATGTCGATTGTTCTTTTGAACAATCATTTGACACCGTGAAGGTGTCATTTCCCACTTCGCTTATCTTGACACATTCTTACTTTTTAGAATTTTTTTTGCTTAATGGCGAAGCTTTTGATTTTATCCTTGGAGCAGTTTTTTCATAATGTGATGAAGACAAATGACTTCATCTTGTCAAAAATAACATTATAACATGCGATCTACTGTTGATGATCCAAGATTTTTTGCCATTTTTCTTATGGATTATTACAGCTACTTCCAATTTTGGATAAGTCATGTTCTTCCCTATCCATGCATTTTATTGTGTATACTTCAAAGTCCAAATCTTTTGATTCAATTTTTTTCATTGTTAATCGCTTGACAAAGATGACATTTTCTCTGATTGTAGTACGTACTTTACATTCAAGTTCTAACAATCTTTGTTCAAGATTTAACGAGTGAAGATCAATGAACAAGTATGAAGATTGTCAAGCAGTTCATATACTTCAAAGTCCAGATCCAACAAGGTTAAAAATTAAAAAAAATCTGGGAAAGCTAAAGTTTTATTTGATATTTTCTTTTTTGCATGGTTTTCAAAACACAATGTTTTGTGAAAATTCTGAAATAATTGAATTATCAATAGGATACAATTGCTATTGTGTAGAAGCGCTTCACAAATCATTTATGAAAAATTTGGATGACAAGTTTAGTGCAAAGATTAAAAAATTGATATTGGCTAGCTGAAGCTCTAATTAAAGATGAATATTATCATTATGATAATTGAAAAGATCTTGATAAGATTGCAATTCATTGGTTTTTTAGAAGAGGAGAATATTATAGCAATATTTAATCAATTTAGTACTTTCATGTTGTCATTGATGAGTTATTTAAAGATGAAATTAGTTTTATTCGTGTTGTATTAAGAATTTTAAAATATATTTGATTCAAACAAAAATTTTTATATGAAGTTTTTTTCTCATAACCTCTATAAGTGAACTAATTATTTGTCCAAGTATAAATTTATATCATGGGATTTTTTTCTTACTTATAACTAGCTAACTTTAACACTGAATAGGATTATTCTAGTCAATGTTTTTATTAATTCTATCAAAAATTTACACATACAATTACAAATTTTACATTGAGTCATTAATCAAGATTTTAGTGAAATGAAATAATTTTAACGTCTTGTGGTTCATCCAATCAAAACAATGACAAGCTATGTTTTTTTTTTTTTTTATCAATGAAACATGCAGAGGCTGAGGAGTTTCAAAATGCTTTGATTTTAACACAATACGACTCAAATTTTAACAAAATAGTAACTTAAAACAAAAAGTTGATTTTTAAGTTGATTTTTGATGACACATGACTTGTAGACTGCAATTACTTATCAACCGCATAGTCTCTACTATGCTTTTATCATTGATATTCAGCCTCTTTCATCTTTACAAGTTCATTTGAGATGTAACAAACTTTTTTAAAGCTTTGAAGTCAAAATATTCTTGTGATAATTGTGCATTTTGTGGACTTTTTTATCACATATGGGCAGAAATCTTGAGGGAGTGGATTGTGACAGAAAATTTTTGACAAATTCCATCAGTGTTGTTGGAAAGGAGGAGAGCAGTAAGATTTGTACACGACCCAAGCTCTGAAGGCGCTGAAGTCTTTTGCACATGGCCAGTTCAATGAGAATTTCACCCTCAAATAATCGCAGTTCCATCAGCTCATAAAGGCTACCCAGCTCTCCGGAAGTGCAGCAGCCGTTGGTGTGGAGAAGAGTTAATTCTTCGAGCAGAAATTTGTCGATCTTGAGTTTTGCACTTTCTCTTGAAGAAGTGCAGCCGCGAGCGGTGAGGAGCAGCAGAGGCCGCAGGGGAAGTGTGTTTTTGGAGTAGCGGTAGGAGGGAGTAAATCTCCCCCCCCCCTCTCTCCCGTAGGACAGGTAAACCCTAAACCGGAGTGGGAGCACGAGCGGAACCGCGAGCGGTGAGGAGGAGCGGAGGCCGCAGGAGAGGAGGGGAGTAGTAGATATTTTTGCAGAAGCGGTCGAAGGGAGTAAAACATCCCCCTCTCTCCCGCAGGAGAGGTAAACCTACCCCTCCCAGGAGGGAGTAAAACCTAAACCCTCCCAACCGCAGGAGAGGAGCGGAGCCGCGAGCGGTGAGCAGGAGCGGAGGCTGCAAGAGAGGAGGGGAGTAGGAGGTATTTTAGGAGGGAGTAAAAACCCCCCTCTCCCGCAGGAAAAGT